AGTTGAACAAGTTATGAAATTTTGGTTGATAAACGCAAGGTGATCGGGCTCATATATCAGCAAGAAAAAGTAAAATTATAAGAGCTTATTGGCCAAAAACAAGCTATAATATTGCAGACCTTGGAGCAATACCTACTGAAGAGCACGGTGAGCAGGATCATGCCAGAAAATGTTGACTGATGAGCGCATATTGATGTATTGGTATGGATATTGAATAACTTACAACAGCAAGATAAATTAGTGCTAACTTTCAAGTTAAAAATCTAGAATGAATGGACTTGGGCAGCTTAGATGCTTCATGCTATGCGGATTGTAATGTGCATCAGGTACTCAGTGTCTGGCAAATGAAACATGCGATCATTCCATTGCTACTGGAGGAGAAAGGTTGGATCACTAAATCCACTTTATGTTGATTTTGATGTTAATCATCAATGTATTTCTTGAAAAAAAGGATTGTAGTAGAATTGTCAATGTGACAATCCATGCAACGATGTGATCATATAATGTGTTCATAGTCATTCGTGATAGTCATTATTGGTCCAATATACAATGGCAAAGCTTTCAGTCTCAGCGTTTCTTCCTGTGGATGGCCAGCAGTGACTCAGAGCTTAGAAGTATTAGTTTTCTTCACAGGGCTGGGATAAAAAGTACTGAGGGTAATCTTCCACCAAGGAACTCTACTTTGACATGGTATGAGATGTAGGCACAAGTAGGTAGGTGCTTAGTTCCTATAGTCAGTAGTTGTGTATGTTTAGTCGGGTTAGCTTAGATTAGATTGTTAGTTTTTTAATTTGCCAAGTGTCCATAAAAATGTGACCTGAGCAATGAGCATACTCCTGACTAACCTGACAGCTGACCTAACCTCAATCATCACACATATTTGCAGCCTACCCAAGACCTGCATAGCAGTAGCACCCAGTTATAGGTAGGTACTCACCCTAACTCAATCTTACCTGCTAACCTTCAACTTGCCAAAAGTTAGCTCACATTGCCAAGCTGCATCCAGGGAAACAGTCAACTGAGGAACTGGCTCGTTGGGTGGCTGGTGTGAGTCTGTGCATTTAAAGTGTTTCTTCTCTGAAGCTGCTCTGCACTGCTGTATGTCATGTTAGATGCTCAGAAAATGTGGGAAATGATTACTAAGCTACTTTAGTGCTTCGTTAATGCTCAAGACATGAACAAGTACTGATCCTGCAGGGTACAGCTATGAGTTAGGTGCTAGGTGAGCATGTTATGTGAATGTGCTGTTCCCTGTTTGACCATAGTAAGTATACAAGCACAGGGTCACAGTTATATTCAATCTCCACACAAACATACCGTAAAATGGGGTGTTAAGGGACAGTGGGGTGATAAGGGACAGTTGCGTGGGAAAAACTTTGAGTCATGTTAAATTCCTTATTTGAGAATGTTAAATAAAAACTTGAGTGTGGTAGTTGACACTGTTTTGTTCTTGACTATAGGACAAAATGGCATGGTTTTTCATGCAAGTGATTTGGTTCAAAAATGGTTTTGAAAATCATGCTATATTTTCACAAAATTGAGACATCTCCAAAACTCTGTGTGTACCACATAAACTAGTAGGTGTACAGGTAAAATGAATGCATAGGTGTATTGTCACATGTATTGCACATGTTTCCTGAAAAACTTATACAAATCCACCCTTTCATTCAACATCCTCTTCCTTTTTTCCAGACACATGCATATTTTGAGGTGGATGTGGGGTGCTAAGGGACAGTGAAGAAAAAATAGAAAATAATATCTAAATATAATTTTATTAAGGTTTCTTTCAGTAGGCATGGAAAACAACAAATAATGACAAATGACTAGCTTCAAAATGGGTTTTTGTTGATGACAGGGTACTTTTTGGTTCTGTTTACCTTATAATTAGCACATTTTCCCGAAGCGTAAACTGCATTACATGTAATTGGTTAAAAAGGCCATTAGTGGTGAATGAACCCGACTTGTTTTGTGACAGAATATGCAAAACGTTTCAATAAATAAATTGTGCGCCCTTTCACACCCCAATTGTGGGCATTTGATGACAATTTCTTGGAGTAATATTGGTGTCCCTTAACACCCCACATTGGGGTGCTAAGGGACAGTGATGAAAAATAATAAGAAATAATATGCATGTATATATTTTTAAAACTTTAATGTAGCAGGCATGTAAAGCACCAAATTCCACATAAAATGCTGACAAGTTGATGCTTCTATCTCCAACCCTTCTTGAGTTATATAACAAAACACCTCAAAACTGTCCCTTAACACCCCATTTTACGGTACAACAAAAACGGCCATATGGCCTAACTCCGAACACACCACAGATAAGTTAAGCCTTTGCAGGCACAAAAATGTTTTGATTAACAGGACAGGTATACAATACATCTTCTGTCCTTGGGGGATCTTGCTGCCAAGTTGAGGTACGATGACTTAACTTCAGGATTGATCAACCTTTTCTTAGCCACTGCTTATATACGAGAAAGACCAAATGCTTGTTTGTTTTGATTTACAGGACATGTATACAATATATCCTCTGTCCTTGGGGGATCTTGCTGCCAAGTTGAGGTACGATGACTGAACTTCAGGATTGATCAACCTTTTCTTAGCCACTGCTTATATATGAGAGACCAAATGCTTGTTTGTAAACTGCGTTGAAAATTTAATGATCCACCTTCAATTCTGACATGAAGGCACAAATGAAATAGTTCCCTCTCCTTTTCGAATACACAAAGCAAAATATTTAATAAATTTTAGTGGATGGACAAGAGCAAATAGCATAGCTTCCCCTCTGACACTGATGAATTACACTGACACTTATTCGCTTCATATTTTGTAACAAACGCGCTAAAACTGCAATATAACAGCACTATATGCTTCTTGACAAAATGCAATAGAAGTAAAAATTTAGCCCTGATGCCATTCATTCTTGGTAAAAACGTAATTACAAAATATTTTGTAGTAACTATTAAATTCCGGGCAAAAACAGTCAACGGTTTAAAAAAGAATCATTCCAATGACGGTCCATTCTTGCGGTCCTGAAATCGCCACTATTTCCGGCCTCTCCAACGCAACTCGTTGTACCAAGCTAACAGAAGAAAGACTACGAATCCTAGCTCTTCTGAGACCGCACGTAGGAAAACCCAACGAGGTACTAAAGGCATTCCTCTTCAACGATGACAGAGAAGAGATGGAGCACAACAAGGACGGACTCTACCGGCTCTGGAGGCTGAGAAGAAAACTGGTGACAGAGGCGGGTGAACCATCCTAAGCTTATCCCACTGAAGCCCTCCCACCCGACCTGTGTTTATAGGGCTACCGATGCAAAGGTCACAGCCCGACCACCTCATCAGCATCAGCATCAGCAACGTAAATATGCAGTGGTGCTCCATTTGTTTGTTTACAATGATTGTAGTGCTGATGTATTTTTACATAGATATAAAAGACTAGATGGGACATTGGCAGTGTTTTAGTGCGTGCGACTGGCCGCCATGTTTGTGAGGGCGGGAATCTGCGGCGCTGTGTAAACACTACGGGAGGAGGGGGGTATTTGAGACTGATTTTGTGGTATTTTTCGACCGAAAAGTGCTAATCTTTTTTGCTCACGGCATTCTTTGGAATGTGTAGATTGTGGAACAAGTGCTGAAATATGCTTATCTATTGTAATTTGGCTACGTTAGCCTTAGACATGTTGCACTGTTGACGCTGATGAAGAATAGGCGGCACCAAAGGTAGATTTGCTTGGCATGCCTGTTTTAGATTTAATTCAGTTCCCATGTTTTTTTTTGTGCACACCACAATCCTTTAATTATTCTTGCATGGATAGAGCATCAGTCATATGATTTTTGACAGAAAGCTTACCTAGATAGGTACCAGAACATTGGCAGCGGAAAGCAGACTCATCACCTACACTTGCTTTGCCTGCTCACTTTCTACTGTTGCCTTCAATGGACAATATTTATGAAGTAAGAAGGTTTTATGATTTTAGGTTTTAAATAAGTACTTTACTTAATGTCATCAGTTTGTGTTAAATAGTAGTTCAGTGCCAAACGAAAAATCCATGCACTATGCCAGATGCCTCGGGGGCTCTTATCCGTTCTGGGTTCAGAGTGCAGTGGCATACCACGCTCACCCTCAACCAGAGCTGATAGATAGTGAAAATGCCAGACGTCGTGATATCTGCACCAGTGAACCGTGTCGCACATTTGATCCCAATAATGAACAGCACAGGGGTGACGTAAAAATGTGCGTTAGTTGGAGCACCTAAACTCAGATTGTCATTACCTAATTAGTTTTCACATTGTAAAGCTTAAACTACACTTCATGCTCTTTTGGCTCACCTGTTATCAGTATCAGTAAATAGGGTATTAGTAAATCTGGCGTTACCATCAATGCTAAGTGCTAACAAGTAAATATGAAGTCCAAGGAAGATAAAAATCATAATCTTACTTGACCTAACCTTACCTACTAACCTAACTAACCTACAACCTACAAACCTCAACCTACATACAACCTCCATACCTACAACCTACCCACCTACAACCTACCAACCTTATATGTGCCGACGGTGGCACCAGATTTATGGATACCCTTATTTGTTAGGTACTTCACTCCACTTCTCATTTTATTTGAAGCTCATTTAAATTCTTGTATTTAAGTCTGTGTAAACTATTATTTTAAAAACCTGATGCTTTTCCATGACTGTAATCTCACTGTTTGCTATGTGTATTTTGTAGTGTGTACTGTGTGCAAATCCAGTATCCTACACTTGTATGCTACAGGCCTTGTTTTGATCTGACTAACTGTTAATATGTTTCAGCTTTAAAGACTAGTATCTTTTGAAATTGAAATTTGCCTCTCAGTCTCTCAAGAATCAAGATGCCAAATAGATGTGCAGGATTTGATTGCTGACAAACCAGGGATGAGGCTCAAGAGTCGAGAGATCACCCTGCATTGGCAAGTAAAAGCTACAGACTCTTGATTTTTTATATTGTTACAGGTTATCTGTCACCGAGAGCGATTGCTGTAGTTCAATTTCTTGCATCAAAATTGGCAGAATATGACTTCACTGATCACTCTGACGTCATTTACGGCCGACCTATGGTAGCTACACAATTTTTATTTCTATAAAATGTTTCAGATTGATGCAGCCGAAGGTACTGCAAGTTTCGTATTGACACGTCTAGTGGTTTAGAAATATTGCAACAAATATATATTTCAATTTTTTCAATATATAAATGTAAATATTTTATTGCAGAAAACAGGAGAGGGGCTCTGTAGAGCCCCGCCCTCCAGTCATGCGTGGGTAAAGGCCCATCAGTCACTGAAACCAGAATAAGTGCAAAAAATTATTACCAAATGCCCGGAGACTGCTTTACCATTGCCAACATGTGTGTGTGTGTGTGCGTGTGTGTGTGCGTGTGCGTGTGTGTCAACAATGTGTTAACAACAAATACAACACAATTGTGCCTGGCGTATGTTAACACTAAACACTATTAGCCATATTTTATTGATACTAATCGAACCTTCCAGGTGGCTGGAACAACCCCAGTGCCGCACAGTTCTGCGGGATATTCCGGCACCTGCTCCACCGCTGCGGCGTCCGGCCCGGCAGCACAGGGAAAGTGGCAGCCCTCGACCCGACCAGCATCCTGGCAGTCGGTCACACGACCAGCGGACGGGGAGCCAGCCTTACTACCTCGGCCTCCACCACCTCAGACAACGGTGCCACGGCACTCCACATCATCACGGAGCACGACTTCCAGCCTGGGCTGTCGTCTGGTGGGCAACATCGTCACCTACATCGCAGGGTTCGTGGTGAAGAAGGCGCTCGACTCTGTCAGCTGTAGCACCTGTCAGGAGGCCCTGGTGAGCGACATCCAGCCGGACGACATGACACAGCTTTACCACCTCTTCATCATCTCTGCCAGATGAGCTAAGGTGGGGACGGGTTACATGCCTGGGATCTGACTGAGACCCGCTCATACCCTGCCGAAGTGTTGGTGATTTCAGCGGTCAGCTGTCTCTAGCCGGTGTCAGTGAGTGGCGGCCAGCTGCCGCTGGAGTGGGTATCTACCGTCGATAGCTGCTGTGTGGCGGATAGCGTGGATTTGGATGGACACTTCATATTAATGAACAGATCAATGTCTGGCCGATAAAAGACGTATTTTGTCGATGATTGCTTAGTGACTGAGTGGGTCCACTGGCGACCAATGCAGTGGGCGCTGGGTTAACGCCTCGCCTCTTGTGACCGTGTCGATATGTAGCACTGTTAATTGCCGATTCGTTGCCGGCCGTCTCTGCTCCGTGGCTGGCTGATCCGGCACAAACTGGTGTTCGTGGCTGAAGGCGCGGCTACAGTTACACTAGCTCGCCACGTGCCTGTGCGACTATCGTCGGTGCTGTCTGCAAGGGCGATGTCGGTGCCTGTAGGGGGCGCGGATTGATTCAAAGTGAGGAATGGGTCATCGGAGCTCGGGTCAGGTCATGTTCGGCTAAAATAAGCGGATTTTGCGATTTGCCGCATCCGGGTGAATTTCCTTGCCTTCTAGTGCATGTTTATGCATTTTACATGCGTTTTTTTTAGTGTTGATGTCTAGATAACGTGCATTTGCCTCGAGGTCAAGGCTGCGCTTCATATGGGCAGTTTTCGGAGCATCTTGCTCATTTTATTCGTAATTCTTAATTATGTTTGCGGATTTGTGCCCGCAAATCATTTTTTAAAGTAAGATTGACACGGGATTCGAGATCGGCGCCCATAAATACACTTCACATGACCCGCCATGTGTCAAGGCCATCCGAGGTCATCTAAGGTCGCTGACCTTGTATGACCTTATGTGACCCGGTTCGCTAGATTTCGAGATGAGGTTGATTGGGAATGATGTAACCCATTTCGCCGACAGTTCACGCGTTTTGGTCGATTTTATAGCGAAAGATCTCAAACTCCAGTGACTTTACTGGTTCGATTTCCAGTGTTTGACCTGACCTCTGAGTTCACCCGTTGACCTAGTACCCTGAAATTTGGTATCACTGGTTTACTCACATCGCGGACAGCATACCTATTTTTTTCCGTTCTTGCTCCGTCGAGGGGCGAACGGCTGGAGTTCACTCCGTTCACCCTGGCTTCCCCTACTCGTAAGACGCTGACAAACTACGAACGGGTGAGGGCTAAAATTGCACTTATTGTCGATCATTGTCCATTGCATACTGCATACATAGATATAAAGTATGGTAGCCATAATGGGAAACGAATTTTATCTTAAATTAGCATGCCAATTGCATCTACCTTCGGTGCCGCATATCCTTTATCAGCGTCTTCAGGGCTATATGTCTAGGGCTGATGTAATTACATTACTATAAATACACATGTTTCTGCCCTTGTTTCACAATCTACTCATTCCAAAGAATGCCATAGGTAAAAAAGATTAACACTTTTCGGTCGAAAAATACCGCAAAATCTGTCCCAAACACCCCCCTCCTCCCATAGTGTTTACACAGCGCCGCAGATTCTCGCCCTCACCAACATGGCGGCCGCTGCTACGTATTCGCGAGTCGCTCCCGACATGGGGGTGCCCTATCTAGTCTTTATATCTATGTATTTTTAGGACTCTGAACGTCGGCTTATAAAAAATGAAACGTTTTTACAAAAGTTGTAGGGCAAGTAATATTTATCTGAAAGAACTAAAATATTCAAAAGCCAAACACTATGAAATACATGAATCGGAACGAAAAAGTAACCCAAAAATCCAGCCTAATCACCGGCTCCTAAAACTGCAACAAAATCAGCACTTTTCCCCGCAACTCGTTGTCCAGACGTAAATATGCATCAGAATCCGTTCCAGCCGTACATCAAGCATCACTATTCACCTAATCAAAACTCAAACTCTCCTTATTACGGAGCGAGCGAAGCGAGCGTAGTCTTTCCTTAGATTAACGGAAATTTCTGAGTATGAGCGGCCGCCGGCCGTGGTCACGCTTTTGCGAGGCTTATATCTCAGCAACCAGTTGACCGATTTACATGCGGTAATTTTTGTAGGATAGCTTCATTCCTTCTACCAAGTATTGGACTATTCCCGATGCATGTGGGCGACCCCTTATGCACGTGCCACGTGCAAAACGAAGAGGTGTCCGTTTTGTAATTGTTGCAATATCTCGGTAACTACTTGGCCGATTGCGCTGAAAGTTGGCATGTAGGTAGGCACCCACTAGCCACTGCATATCCATGTGCCAGAATTGGGGCGCTGCTGCACGTGCGCACGTGCAGGGGTCGATTCCAGATCTCGAGAACGGCTGGACCGATGGCGCTCAAATTTGGCACATGGTTAGGGACCGGTTAGTAGGGTGCCGTGCAAAAGTCAGTTGGGCCCCATTTTGCACGTGCGCACGTGCAGGGTGCCGCTTCCAGATCTCGAGAACGGCTGGGCCGATTGTGCTCAAATTTGGCACATCGCTAGAGACCGGTTAGTAGGGTGCCGTGCACAAGTCAGTTGGAGGTACCCCCTCGCAATTTCGCACGTGCAAGGCCCACCCTCTCGCTCGCTCCGTTAGTCGCCCCAAAAGGCGTTATACTGGTCTTATTACGGAGCGAGCGAAGCGAGCGTAGTCTTTCCTTAGATTAACGGAAATTTCTGAGCATGAGCGGCCGGCCGGCCGTGCGGACGCTTTTGCGAGGCTTATATCTCAGCAACCACTTGACCGATTTACATGCGGTAATTTTTGTAGGGTAGCTTCATTCCTTCTACCAAGTATTGGACTATTCCCGATGCATGTGGGTGACCCCTTATGCACGTGCCACGTGCAAAACGAAGAGGTGTCAGTTTTGTAATTGTTGCAATATCTCGGTAACTACTGGGCCGATTATGCTGAAAGTTGGCATGTAGGTTGGCACCCACTAGGCACTGCATATCCATGTGCCAGAGTTGGGGTGCTGCTGCACGTGCGCACGTGCAGGGGTCGATTCCAGATCTCGAGAACGGCTGGACCGATGGCGCTCAAATTTAGTACACGGTTAAGGACCAGTTAGTAGGGTGCCGTGCACAAGTCAGTTGGGACCCATTTTGCACGTGCGCACGTGCAGGGTGCCGCTTCCAGATCTCGAGAACGGCTGGGCCGATTGTGCTCAAATTTGGCACATCGCTAGAGACCGGTTAGTAGGGTGCCGTGCACAAGTCAGTTGGAGGTACCCCCTCGAAATTTCGCACGTGCAAGGCCCACCCTCTCGCTCGCTCCGTTAGTCGCCCCATAAGGCGTTATACTGGTTCTTAATTACGGAGCGAGCGAAGCGAGCGGAGTCTTACGTAGAATAACGGAAATTTCTGAGTATGAGCGGCCGGCCGGCCGGCCGGCCGTGCGGACGCTTTTGCGAGGCTTATATCTCAGCAACCACTTGACCGATTTACACGCGGTAATTTTTATAGGGTAGCTTCATTCCTTCTACCAAGTATTGGACTATTCCCGATGCATGTGAGTGACCCCTTATGCACGTGCCACGTGCAAAACGAAGAGGTGTCAGTTTTGCAATTGTTGCAATATTTCGGTAACTACTTGGCCGATTGCGCTGAAAGTTGGCATGTAGGTAGGCACCCACTAGGCACTGCATATCCATGTGCCAGAGTTGGGGTGCTGCTGCACGTGCGCACGTGCAGGGGTCGTTTCCAGATCTCGAGAACGGCTGGACCGATTGCGCTCAAATTTGGTACACAGTTAGGGACCGGTTAGTAGGGTGCCGTGCAAAAGTCAGTCGGGACCCATTTTGCACGTGCGCACGTGCAGGGTGCCGCTCCCAGATCTCGAGAACGGCTGGGCCGATTGTGCTCAAATTTGGCAAATCGCTAGAGACCGGTTAGTAGGGTGCCGTACACAAGTCAGTTGGAGGTACCCCCTCGCAATTTCGCACGTGCAAGGCCCACCCTCTCGCTCGCTCCGTTAGTCGCCCCATAAGGCGTTATACTGGTCTTATCTTATTATATATGTCAGTAGGTATAATATTATTTAGTGGCCGAGAGCCGTGTTCGCCTTGATGTTTGGGCGAGAGCCCCGCCTGCCGGCGGAAGCCTCGCTGGGTGATCGGCCGGTTGTGGATCGGGCCCCAACCTTCCCCCAGTACATAGACGATTTGAGAGAGACACTCCGACTTACTTTTAAGGATGTGGTTAAGCGCGATCAGCTGTCCCATGACCGCAACAAAGCTTTGTATGAGCGCAGAATGAACGAGTGGTCGTATCGCCCGGGTGACAAAGTGTTCTTGTTTCGCAATGTACCGAAGCGCGGTGAATATCATAAGTTTGTGAGGCCTTGGCGTGCGGCTGAGATCATAGAACAATGTGGACCAGTGAACTATCGAGTGCGCGAGGAGGGAAAGCGGCGCAGTCTGGTGGTGCACCACAACCGCTTGAAGCCGGACAACACAGTGGAGCGCCCGCCGGCTGTGAGTGAGGGGCACAGGACCGCGACAAGAGCGCATGGGTTGTCTCTCTGGCGAGATGTGCCGGGAACGCCCATTGCCCGGCCCCATAGTGTGCCTAGTATGGGTGGGGTGCCAATTGTATTTCCGCCCCAAGGTGTCACAGCTGGCCGCTATGTACCGCAACCTGTTGTTTTGCCGCACGTGCCGATGCCGCGTCTGCCCGAGATGCGACCTGACTGTGTGCCGCCACCTGACCCTGTACCGCTCCATGACGCTGTGCCGCATCGGCCGGAGGTACATACCACATGTTCCGCCGCCATCCCCGCCGCCGCCGTTCGATGCCGAGCCGCCGCGGGATGTGGATCAGCGGCCGCGAACTGTCACCCGTTTCGGGCGTGAGGTACGCCCCCCGAAACGGTTCGACCCTGCTCACTGGTCTTTTGATTAAGCGTTTGTTGTGACTGTCGTTGGCATATTGTTCAATAGGAGGGGAGGAGTGTAAGTAGGTATAATATTATTTAGTGGCCGAGAGCCGTGAAGGATGCACGGCTAAATCGTGTTCCCGGCTGTGGCGGGAAGCGGTCGCGCGTCGGCGCGCGAGCAGAGCAGAGCAGAGCGCTGGGCAGAGGGTGTGTGCAGGGGGGCGACACGGCTATTCGCGCAATGTATTAATTTATGGGCCGCGCGGGGCCTCGCGATGACGCGGCTGGAGGCAACTGCTCAGCGCGCTAGGATACTTCTGGCGGGGCGGGGCGCTGAACGGTGTGCAATGAATGGGTTATGGTCGGGCCGACAGAGATGAGGTATTGAATTTGAATTGACATCAGCAATTGGGTGGGGAAGGAGAACGTTCCTAATCGAGCTTGGGTTGGGGAAAGCCGAAAATATCGCGATCGGCTCATAGCTCAGACAGGGCCGGGTGCCGTACCATGTGTTGTATACATATTTAGGCGGGCAGACAGAGATGAGTTATTGGATTTAAATTCACCTTACCATCGGTTTCTGGTGGGGTTTGAAAATGGTTTTAGTCAAGCTCGGAGTGGGGCAACCGACCACCGCGTACCACCCCCAGGCCAACGGGATGGTGGAGCGCCTGCACCGGCAGCTTAAGGCCGCGCTGCGCGCCGCCGCGCCCGCCCGCTGGACGGAGGCTCTTCCTTTGGCGCTGCTCGGAATCCGCTCGGCGCTCAAACAAGACCTGGGCTGCAGCACTGCCGAGCTGGTGTACGGAGCACCTCTACGCCTACCTGGTGAACTCATCACCCCGTCCGCCACCGCGCCTCCTACGCCGGAATCATTCGCCGCCGAGCTTCAGCGCACCATGGCGGCACTGCGCCCGACGGCACCACGACCAGCACCAAGCGCGCCGTCGTACGTGCCGCGCGCGCTGGACCACGCCTCGCACGTGTTCGTGCGCCACGACGCAGTGAAGCCGCCGCTTGCCCCGCGTTATGACGGACCATACAAGGTGCTACACAGATCGGCGAAGACGGTCACTGTGGACCGAGGCGGTCGTTCCGACGTTATCTCCATCGACCGAGTCAAACCGGCGCACTTGGAACGGCCCCCACCTGCTCCAACTCCGACAGCATCGCCGTCTGCGGTCCAAGACACGGCGCGTTCCGCCGACTCGGCAACACCGGCCTCCGGCCCAGAGCTCCTCCTGCCAGTGCCTCGCGCACCGAGGCCGCCGCTTCCGCCACCGCGTGGCGACCTGCCGCTACAGCCGCCGCCTCCGCCCGCGCCCCCACCGCCGTGCCTACGGACGACCCGCTCCGGCCGTGCTGTACGGCCACCAACGCGTTTTCTTAACGTCACGTTCGCAGTGCCGTCTCTAGGGGGAGGGTGATGTAGTGCACCGCCGCACGTTCTCCGACGCGGCGCGGCACTACCGCCGCTGGCGACTGGCAAGCGCTCCGACGCGGGGCGGCGCCACCGTCGACCTCAACGTGGCGCTGCTGTCGCAGCTGACGCGAGGCGCAGGTTCAGCGATATCCGCCAGATGGCTCTGCTCCACTTGTTCATCTTCTATGTCCGATTTATTAATGTTTTAGAAATGTATGTTCTTGTGTATGTATCATAATGTTCATCGTCGTGTGGGCATTCACGCACTCTTCTAGAAAGTATCTCTCGCTCTGATATACGTTTTCTCACTGCTTTGTACTGTCCTTAACTTTGCCAAAACGAACTATGGTTTCATCGTTGTGTTCACTACATAGCTTGCTCATGCTGTTTCAAATACATCGCTATCCTTGGCCGATCTAAGTGTTTGGGGGAGACGGCTCCACATCAGGGAACTTCCCAGCCCGTCGTTGTGTGGAATCCCAAGTTGCGAATCCCAAACACTGGAACGGCTTCATCCGGCTTAGAGCACGACTCGCCACGGCACCAGCCACAAATGGTGACCCCGACGTGATCGGTAGCTCAAGAAGTCATCGTCTCCGCCTCGGCAAGAAGAGGTCATCTTTGACCTGGCCTCCCCATCGCCTCGGCAAGAATGGGTGACCTTCACCCGGCTTCCGCTGCCGCGAACAGTGAATAGTGCGCTGGTGACGTGGTGAATAGTGCGCTGGTGACGTGGCCTAGCCTCAGCGCAACGAGCGCCTAACGCAGTGCAGCGCAGCGAGCGCCAACGCAGTGCAGCGCAACGAGCGCCCAACGCAGTGCAGCGCAGCGAGCGCCAACGCAGTGCAGCGCAGTGAGCGCGGCGAGCGCCTAGTGATTACCGACAGTCTTTCAGTGTGCCTCTAGTGTTAGTGTTTGCTGTATATAGTGACTATGCCGTCACCCACCGAGCCGGAGAGTGCCGCCCAGGACGCGCCGACGCGGCCATTCGCGTCGTTCCGGCTGCCAGCCTACGCACCTGAAGAAGCCGAGCTCTGGCTGGTGCAGGTCGAGTGTGCCTTCGCCGTCGCCGGCATCACGGATGACCACGACAAGTTCCGGCTGCTGGTGGCCAACCTGCCTGTGCATGTCGCTTCACGAGTTCGAGACGTGATAACAGCCGAGACCGGCTCGTTCTCAGAACTAAAAGGGGCCCTGAGCACGCGCCTGGCCCAGTCGCGCGCCTCACGCCTCGAGGCACTCCTCCGCGACCACCAGCTGGGCGACAGGAGGCCCACGCAGCTGTTGCGCAGCATGCAGCACATGCTGGGCAGCGCGGGCCACGACCTCGGCCTTCTCAGGACGCTGTTCCTGCAGCGCCTGCCGCCGACGACCCGCGCCGCCCTCGCGCTGCTGCCGGAGGACACTGGTATTGACGACCTGGCCAGCGCGGCCGACCGATTCCAGGAGGCCTCTGGCGGTGCCGCCGTGACTGCTGTTTGCACGCCGACGGCCGGCGTCGCTGCCGCCTGTGGCCCGCCGGCCGGCCCTGGGGTCACGCTCGCCCCGCCGGCCAGCGCGGTGGCGGCCGCCGGACCGCCCGCCGCCTGCGGGTGCGGTAATTCCGGCATGGCCGCTGCCGTCACCGCCCTCACCGCTGCGGTAGCACGCATCGAGGCCGTGTTCCAGCGGGGCGGTGCCGACGCTCCTCGGCGTGGCCGCTCCCGCTCCCGTCCGCGCCGACCCGCACCTGCCTCGTCTGGCAGTTCTCAACCGGCATCGGTGACTCCTGATGAAGGGTACTGCTGGTACCACCAGAAGTACGGCGCGGAGGCCCACCGCTGCAGACCGCCGTGCTCCTGGTCGGGAAACTAGCCCGCCTGTCCGCGCTAGCGCCAGCGGAGACGGGCCGGCCAACACTGGCGCCCCTCTTCTATGTCACCGACCTTGCCCGGAACTGGCGGTTCCTTGTCGACACCGGCGCACAGGTGAGTGTCGTCCCACCACGAGTCGTGGCCGACGGCACCACCGTGCAGCAGCCCGACGCGCCTCGACTGGAAGCAGCCAACGGCACAGAGATCAAGCTCCATGGCGTTATTTCGACTTCGGTGCGTTTCGGAACAGTGGACTACCCGTGGACATTCATGGTCGCTGACGTATCGATGCCGATCTTGGGAGCGGACTTTCTCGCCCATCATCGTCTGCTGGTGGACATGCGCCGTCAGCTCCTCCAGGCTGAACACGGCACGACGTGCGCCGTGGGAACCCGAGCCGACATCGGCTCCGTCGGTGTGCGCATGTGCGCGGCGCCCACTCTCGCAGACTTGTTTAGAGAGTTCCCTCGAGTGACGGCCACATCTGCGCAACTCCTGCCCGTGCGCCATAACGTCACTCACCACATCGTGACACGTGGACCTCCTCGTGTGGGGCACCCTCGGCGTTTGCCACCCGACCGACTCCGCATCGCCCGTCAGGAGTTCGACAAGCTGATCAGACTCGGGGTCGCCCGCCCATCCAAGAGCAGCTGGGCGTCGCCCCTCCACATGGAGCCCAAGAAGGAGCCCGGACAGTGGCGCCCGTGCGGCGACTACCGCGCCCTGAACGCCGCCACCGTCCCGGACCGGTATCCCATACCGTTCCTGCAGGACTTCTCCGCGAACCTGCACGGCTGTACCATCTTCTCGAAGATCGACCTCGTCCGCGCGTACCATCAGATCCCGGTCGAACCCGCTGACATCCCGAAGACGGCCATCGTCACACCGTTCGGGCTATTCGAGATGCAGCGGATGAGCTTCGGTCTTCGCAACGCCAGTCAGACATTCCAGCGCTTCATGGACGAGGTGATGCGCGGGCTGACGTGCTGCTACGTGTACATCGACGACATCCTCATCGCCAGCACGTCCGTCGAGCAGCACCGCCGTCACCTCCGTCAGGTACTGGAACGTCTCGACAAGTTCGGCGTCACGATCAACCCAAAGAAGTGCGTGCTGGGCGTCAACCGTATCAGCTTCCTCGGTCACGATGTGTCCCCGGACGGCATCGCCCCGCTGCCGGAGAAGGTCGCCGCAGTCCAGGAGTTTCCGCAGCCGACCACGCAACGCCAACTGCGCAGGTTCATCGGCCTGGTGACCTACTATCACCGGTTCCTGCCTGGTGCTGCCGGCCTCCTCCGACCGCTTCACCACCTGCTGGACCAGAAACGCAAACGCGCGGCGCCGGTGGAGTGGACGCCAACCGCTGAGGACGCCTTCCAACGCGTGAAGGCTGCCCTGGCTCAGGCCACGCAGCTCGCGCACCCCACTCCCGGCGCAGCGCTGAGTCTGCAGGTCGATGCCTCTGACACCGGCGTCGGCGCTGTCCTGCAGCAACACTCGCACGGGACCTGGACGCCGCTGGCTTTCTTCTCGAAGTCACTCCAACCAGCAGAGACACGCTACAGCACCTTCGGCCGCGAACTGCTCGGGGCGTATCTGGCGGTCAAGCACTTCCGGCACACTCTGGAAGGCCGCCAGTTCGCCATCTTCACCGACCACAAGGCCCTCGTGTCGGCAGTCTCGTCCGGGTCAGCCAGCTACTCGCCGAGGGAGATCCGGCACCTGGACTTCATCTCCCAGTTCACCACCGACATCAGGCACGTGCCTGGGAAAGAAAACGCAGCTGCGGACGCTCTGAGTCGAACAGTGGCGATGCTCTCAGCACCGTGCCCGCCAGTCGACGACTTCGACGAGCTCGCAGCCTGCCAGCAAGAGGACGAAGAGCTGGCGCGCTTCCGCTCGACAGAGCACGGGCTCAAACTCAGAGACGCCCGGCTCCCCAGCGGCCGCACGCTGGTCATCGACGAGTCCCAGGGTGTACCGCGGCCGTGGATCCCGGCACCGCTCCGGCGCGCCTACTTCCGGCACGTGCACGATCTGGCCCACCCGGGAGTGCGCGCCACCGTCGACCTGGTCACGCGGCGTTTCGTGTGGCCGTCGGTGAAGAAGGACGCCGCACTCTGGGCGCGCACCTGCGTCCCGTGCCAGCGCACCAAAGTCCACCGGCACACGACAGCGCCGCCCGCCTCGTTCCCGCCACCTGCCGACAGGTTTCGACAAGTGCACGCCGACCTGGTCGGCCCGCTGCCGCCGTCTGAGGGCTACTCGTATCTTCTGACGGTGGTGGACCGGTACAGTCGCTGGCCGGAGGCGATCCCGCTGCGTGGCATCACGGCGCGAGAGGTCGCCCGGGCGCTGATCTCCGGCTGGATCTCTCGGTTCGGCGTCCCGGACGAGATCATCACCGACCGGGGCAGCCAATTCGAGTCGGCGCTCTGGGCTGAGCTGTCCACTCTCCTGGGCTGCGCGCGGCGCCGGACCACCGCGTACCACCCCCAGGCCAACGGGATGGTGGAGCGCCTGCACCGGCAGCTTAAGGCCGCGCTGCGCGCCGCCGCGCCCGCCCGCTGGACGGAGGCTCTTCCTTTGGCGCTGCTCGGAATCCGCTCGGCGCTCAAACAAGACCTGGGCTGCAGCACTGCCGAGCTGGTGTACGGAGCACCTCTACGCCTACCTGGTGAACTCATCACCCCGTCCGCCACCGCGCCTCCTACGCCGGAATCATTCGCCGCCGAGCTTCAGCGCACCATGGCGGCACTGCGCCCGACGGCACCACGACCAGCACCAAGCGCGCCGTCGTACGTGCCGCGCGCGCTGGACCACGCCTCGCACGTGTTCGTGCGCCACGACGCAGTGAAGCCGCCGCTTGCCCCGCGTTATGACGGACCATACAAGGTGCTACACAGATCGGCGAAGACGGTCACTGTGGACCGAGGCGGTCGTTCCGACGTTATCTCCATCGACCGAGTCAAACCGGCGCACTTGGAACGGCCCCCACCTGCTCCAACTCCGACAGCATCGCCGTCTGCGGTCCAAGACACGGCGCGTTCCGCCGACTCGGCAACACCGGCCTCCGGCCCAGAGCTCCTCCTGCCAGTGCCTCGCGCACCGAGGCCGCCGCTTCCGCCACCGCGTGGCGACCTGCCGCTACAGCCGCCGCCTCCGCCCGCGCCCCCACCGCCGTGCCTACGGACGACCCGCTCCGGCCGTGCTGTACGGCCACCAACGCGTTTTCTTAACGTCACGTTCGCAGTGCCGTCTCTAGGGGGAGGGTGATGTAGTGCACCGCCGCACGTTCTCCGACGCGGCGCGGCACTACCGCCGCTGGCGACTGGCAAGCGCTCCGACGCGGGGCGGCGCCACCGTCGACCTCAACGTGGCGCTGCTGTCGCAGCTGACGCGAGGCGCAGGTTCAGCGATATCCGCCAGATGGCTCTGCTCCACTTGTTCATCTTCTATGTCCGATTTATTAATGTTTTAGAAATGTATGTTCTTGTGTATGTATCATAATGTTCATCGTCGTGTGGGCATTCACGCACTCTTCTAGAAAGTATCTCTCGCTCTGATATACGTTTTCTCACTGCTTTGTACTGTCCTTAACTTTGCCAAAACGAACTATGGTTTCATCGTTGTGTTCACTACATAGCTTGCTCATGCTGTTTCAAATACATCGCTATCCTTGGCCGATCTAAGTGTTTGGGGGAGACGGCTCCACATCAGGGAACTTCCCAGCCCGTCGTTGTGTGGAATCCCAAGTTGCGAATCCCAAACACTGGAACGGCTTCATCCGGCTTAGAGCACGACTCGCCACGGCACCAGCCACATGCTTGCCTACGTTCAGGCATTACCTCTGATGGTCATACGTCCAGTACAACATGTGTTGTCTGTCAAACAACAATCGACGACGGGATCTCTTCTCATTATCTCTTAAGCCATCGGTTGTCAATTCACCCACCCCGTTTCCCTAAAAATAGACGGTCAGATTCGGCCTGGGTCCTTACGACCCCTCTAGATTCGCCAGAGACGAGATCGGATCGCCGTTATTGCACCCGTCTTAGTGTCTTTAATACTATGACAGCTTCGACCGACGACCACGGACTTCGGACGGGGTGATCGTTCCACGAATGTACGAACCATCCAGGCCTAGAGTGCATCGAGGTTTAAAAGAATGCAGTCTGTAGATCAATAAACATAACAATGGTGGTATACAACCACATTAAAATATCTCCCCGGCTCCCGCAACGTTCCAACGCCCCTCCGTTATGGATTCGCCTTGTGTGTCCGCCGAGCCGGCTTGCCTCCAATGACGTCATCGGCCGGCCGGCGGCGTTCAAGGTCAAACGGCTGGTGTCCTTACCTGGAGTTCTATAGCCTTGGGTGTGTGTGTGGAGCGCGGCCGGAGGCGCGGCTGGTTGTGTGTTGTGTGTTCGGTCAAGCTGAGAACACAGGAATACAGACATGCAGTAAGACCGGAGGCTGTATCTGAAGACTGAGGTGTCTTACATATATCTTATCTTATTCGGTAAAGCTGAGCACCTTTTAACCACCGAGTTTTGAACACTTCGTACTAATTGACGATTTTTTTTTTAATATTTAATATTTATTATTGGTGCGTCAGTTGCTGGTTGCATGAGTATTGAGTAAATGACTAGGCACCTGGCTTGAAACGACTCCAAAACGAGTTAGTTTCTCAGCACTAGATTTTTGCAAGTCATTCTGGCGTCCAAGTGACATTTGCTGAAATAATAACGTGTTCTGTACATACCAGCTTCTACTGTTAATGATTACCTGCTGTCAAATAAGTGGTTCGTATTTGACGTCATATGCTATCACAGCCAATCGAGCCGCAGAAAAGACATCTAGATGATGTCAAGGGACCGGCAAATGTAGGCTTTCGAACATGAAAGAAAAAATTTACTGTCATGTAAAAGGAGTTACTGACATTTGAAACCAAATTGGAACTTGGGTCTTGGAAATCAGGGTATATTGAGTGAACTTGGAACTCACAAACTCACTGCTTTGGTTAGGAACTTTGGTTAGGTGTTCTATATACTCTGGGTTAGGAAGACGGGAGGCGGTAGACGTATAGGAAAGGATTTATATTGTGACTTTCATAAATAATTTGTTTTCTACTTATTGGTTGAACAAGAACCAAGAGGCCGATGTACCAAGATCACAGTTGCAGTGCTCTGAATTGATGTTTTGATAAATGCAGTTTGTCACTCATTGCTGCATTCTCACTTGCAGGGGTCATTTCCCTCTTTTGCACTCTTTTAAAACTGAAGAACTCTTCCTACATTGAAATATAGAAAATTATCTTTTATAATTAGGTTTTATTTTCTTCGGTGATTATTTTGAGCCTGAAAAATCATGAATCTGTTGCAAAAAACTAATTTTGTGAAAGTGGGAAAATTCCAGTATGGGCCCTGTCGACTGTCGAGCTAGGTGTGGCCCTTAACATTTTTAAACCTTTGCTTTGGGACAAATTAAGGCTATGATGCATAAGTTACCTAGTTAAGACTAAGAGCAAATTACATCAGGACATTTTAGTCAGGTTATGTTTGTTTCTTTTATCATAGTTGAAAATAGCAATTTCAAGTATCCATTAACAAAGATTTGCCTTGAACTCATTCAAATGTGTAAGCCAAATTTATTAAAAGAGGAAGGGTAAAATAAATAATTGTTACAATTATTTGTCAACTGAATGTGATTTTATCTTATATTGCCACCTGGCTAAAAGCTGTGAAGCTGGTAACATCTATGATTTATGAAAGAGTCTGCTTCTTTCCTGCTCTATATGCTTATATTGCCGTTGAATAGTGAGATGGGCTCCTGCTTGATTTTCCCTAATTTTGATTTCCTCTCTTTCAGAAATTTCTCAAAATGTTTGCGGCAATGCTGTCATCTCGTCACATCCAGGTTAGTACCTATGATCAGGCAAAAAAGCATATTAGTTGCAGGACATTTAATGTTGTACCTTGTCCTTGCATCTCACTGGAATGATGTGAATGGTTAATAAGGACATTTTTCTGAGAGGTTCTTTCTCATTCCTCAAACTGAAATCAGGATTTTTCTGATGGTGTTGGTTTTAAAAAGTACCTAGTTGCTTATAATTATGTGATTTCTCCCCCACTAGGCTGGCACCACTAGTCTCCATCCACATGTGTACCTACTTGTTTGCCTGTCTCAGGGTATTGCAACATCCTCACAATTGTGTTCCCCAAGTAACATCGTTTTGTCATTCAGCTGGTGTCGTGTCGGCTGATGTCGGGTCAGACGCAGCCCCCACCGCCGGCCTCGAAGGGCGCGGCGTCACCGCCGCCCGCTGACGACACCCCCGGTGAGTCTCCAACTGCTCCGTGACGCCTAGTCCAATTTCAGTCTTCATGAGCTTTTAAATACCATTGTATTGTATTGTATTTACGATCATGGGCGATCCACACATGACGTGGCGATTACTGCCCATGCAGCCAGTATTTCAAGCAGTGTGTGTCAGGCTCAGCTCATGTAGCCTCTTGCTAGGCATCATTTTGATTTCAATTTAGCGGCAAAAATGTCGCCAACAACATAAACAGCTTTCATTTTTTGTGGGATACGACAGCGGGAGCTTGTACACGTTGAACCCGCAACACTTAGTCACCACATGTGATGATCTGTCTTTGCTATCCCCGCGTTCATTAGTTTTACCGTCGGATAAAATCATCTCTACTTATCCCATCTTCAGTTGGGCCTGGAGCGAGCAAGGCGGGCACCTACAAGAACCCTGAGTACTACCGGTATAACCCAATGTCCTACTTTGACCTCGAGCTGGACATGAAGAAGGACAGGCTGCCGCAGCCCAACAGCCGAAAATGAGCCGGACGTTGGCAGGGACGACGGGGGCCGTGCGATCTGTTGGTGTAGCTTCGTGCATGTGTGTACATAGATGACCGTAAATATATTGGTGCGGATATTGGCTAATCGTTTTAGATGTGTTTCAAAGGCTCGGTATGAATTGAAGATCGGCATCCGGGACTTTTTATGGTTGATATGATGATATCGCTGTTCCATGATTGACTAGCTCTAAACACGAAAAGCGGTTCTTCGGTTGATTATTAATCAATATGATGGGTAGTAAAATGTCTCTTAGAGAATTGGGCAAATTGACCATGGCTGGTGAACTTGGAGGTTTGGGATGCGCTCAGCATCAGTACCCCGGCGGCGGCACAGCCGAAAATACCTAGAGACTAATACAAGAGACTAACCTATTGCGCCTCTGAGCCCCACAGCTACAAATGTCATATACCCCGTTTGAAGGAAAAATACTTTCACATTGGTCGGAGGCCATAGCATATTTATTGTTTGGTTTCACTGTTCGCCGTTCAGCGACTGTTGCGGTTGAAACATGAAGCTGCACCTCTGCAACTGACCGCCAGATGTCTCTACGTTTACTGAGACTCGCCAGGTCTCTGAACATCTGACGTCCGGCGTAGACTGCGAGGAACTTCGACGGCCACTCTGGTGATGCATTTTTGATCGCCACCACCCAGAATAGACACCACTCCTGCCAGTTGACCGACTCTCGTACGAGAGAAGACGAGAGTCCGCTGACGTCACGGGGCCGGACGGCGGGCGGCGGCCGTGCTCCTGACCTTTTCCACCGGAAACGCGGCGCCGTATTGATCGGGCTAGTTCCGGTGTGCGCGACCGGTTCCGGAGATCCTCTCGGGCCGCAGATCCGACGACGAGATGCTGTCGTCATCGCACCCCTCCCCTCCCTCCCCGGTGGGACGGAGGTAGGGGGGTGGGCGGCCGGCCGGCGGTGCTTGGGACGCGGTCGGACGGTCCGTGCATTGCATCAGTTGGTCGGTCTGCCGGACAGATGCGGCCGCGTCATTTAATTGGCAGTTTGTTGGTGTGAAAGGTTAGAGCCGACGGCGGGTGCCGATGGTCGGATACGGTGTGTGGGTAGCGGGCCGTGGTGGATGAGGCCGAGAGGAGCTGTTAATCAGAGGAGTTCACGGCGCCCCAGAGCCGCCCTTTGGGCGGGTGGCAGACGGCTGTTATACACGGGGATGAATGGAGGTGGTTTATGGAGCTGTGGGTGTCATCTATTCTGGTTGATTGTGTTATTTGTAGGGGAAAGTGGGATAAGACGGGCACCTTAACTTTGGAGCCATTTTTCGGCCGGTTAGAAACATCATAGAAACGGGAAACTGAGTGAAAACCTTTTTTAGACAGTTTACTTTCATTTGCTAGAATATGAGACTTATATCTCCCCGTCCTCCCCGTGGCCTAGTGGATAAGGCGTCCGTCTCCTAACTCGGTGGCAGCGAGTTCGCGGCCCGGAAGCTCCACGTCGTTTGACCCGCGTTCCTATATTAAGCCAGCTGGCAACTGGCGAGAGAGGGCCACGCTAGACCCGGGAGGACCGTGCCGCCATCTACCTGCGGCACGTTAAACTTTCGATCTAAATTATCACCGGTGAACCGGGCGCGGGCAAGGTGGGGTGGTGGGTCCGTGGTGTCATTCGCAACAAGCACTGCTTAGCGGAGCACCCAGGCCCATAGCCACCCATTCATCCATTCGGACAAAATTTCTAAAAAAAAAAAATATCTGATTCAACAAATAAACTGCAGCTATTTTTGCAAAACCTTGCAAAAACCCGTATTACCTCACCCCATGGGGTAAGACCGAGGTTAGCCGCATTGATACAGTCGCTCGTTGGTCTCAAGTGCTTCGGAACTTGGCAGTTACACGAGATTCGTGCAGAAGGCGTATGCTCGTATATAGGCCCTAGCTATGCCATTCAGAACCGTTTTTCTCATTCATTATTCGAGAATAAACTGTGCCGAAGGAATATTGCTAACATTTCTGTGAGTATCGGATTCGAACACATTCTTATTAGAAATGCTTCTTTTTTTCCTATAGCAACAAAACTATTTTCACCATTACAGACCCATTGGATTCATAGTTGTCCGTCTTACCCCAAACTCAATGTCAGAAGTTCAGCACGATTTTTCTCTGTGGACAATTTGATGCAGACAAAGCAAATCCGAGGTAAATGAACACTGGTGGCATATGAGTGTACCACAAGTGATTGCGAGTTTTTAACTCTATAGTGCTGCACACAAAAGCTTGCACAATACATTATTGATGTTTTCAATGAAATGAGTGTTTTAAAGAAATCAAAATAAAAGATCATCGACTGAACACAAATTCACCAGACTTCAATGGTGGTGTGTAGTGGGAAAGGCAATTCTGGTCCTAATTTTTCTCGCTCGTAGCGCTATTGGTTTGGTCTGCAGTAGGGGTGCCCGTCTTACCTACCCTGACCGTCTTACCCCACTTTCCCCTACTCTGTCCTTTTTTTTCTTTTGGGAATTTTGTCAATGACGTTGTTCAGGGGAAATTGTTGCATTAATTTTTTATCGATCCAAACCTGCTGAGGTAATCATTTATAATGGTTCAGCGCGTCTTGAACCTCTATTGGGTTATACGTTATCTAGAAATTAGAAATTACGTTAACCCGCGCCCTGCTGGTTGTGGTTTTTCGCGAATATCTCAAAAACGGCGGCGCGGAGCGCCGCCGTTTTTGGTACACCTTATCATACATCAATTTTACACATGTTGTGAAAATTTCAGACCAAGGTCATTCAAGGTCAGGTCACCAGGTCACTTGAAGTGACCTCACCTCATAAAAACTTTCAATGTCTGTCATAGCTACACCGAGTGACCGATCGCTTTGAAACTTTCAGCAATTGCTAAGGGCAATAGCATGTACAAAATGTATATCTCAGAATTTTGATATCGATGACCTAAGGTCAGGTCAATTTTGCGACCTACCCATTATAAGTCAATGGGAGAAAATTGAAATGAGTCTCTTTTGGATGAAAGACATTATAAACACTCCCAAACACCGAATTACAAGTGTTTTAGACACACTGAACTTGAAAATGGTGTCCGTGACCCTTGTTTATGCCCTGAGGTCATCTCAGGTCACGAATGGTATCTAACAGTTTTTCGCAAATAACTTTTGATAGATGCATGCTAGAGCGATGAAAACGCCTTAGATGTGTTCAGCTCGACGATACGGATCGACTGATATGCAACATGACCCTTTCCGGTCAGGTCATGACCTTGACCTGAGGTCAAATTTTCAAGTTGACCCTTCAAGGTCAAGTTATAGTTCATTCGATGCGTCTTGACGAGAGGAACACGATGGCGGTAAAAGTAAGCTCGTACAAGGCTTGGGTCAAAAGTTATTGCAGAAAAACTGTTTTCGAAAAAATCGGCTATTTTTGCAGTTTTTGCTCCCTGCAGGCAAAACCGTTGACGTTAGGTCAAATCTGAGAGAGTTACTCAGAAAGGGCGTTAATAGGGCTATCGAATGCGCTTTTCCGCGGCGCTGTAGCTCTATTGGTTCCCGAGTTATGCGTTGGCTTCTTGGAAATTTTCGACATTCGACCTGGAAATCGGCGAAATTTTGCCTTCAATGACCTCTGGTGACCTGACCTTTGCCCTGACCAAAAAATTGACCGAAGTGATTTCGTCATTATTTTTGACGCTCTTTCGAACGCCGCCTTCCGCGTATCGCTACGTCGCCCAGGAGCCGAGTTAGAAGGGGGGGGTGTTCAAACACCCCCCCCCCCAGCAGGGCGTGGAAATCCAGGACCCCCAGCAGGGCGCGGGTTAAAATCATTAACATCAAGTAAAGGGCATATATAAAACATGCCTTAACAACGGTAGTGAGAAAGACTGGACTGCGGCTTTGCTATAAATTCCAGGTATTTTTGCCGTTCCATATGCATTAAGCGCGATTGAATGGTGTTCGCCCCTTGTGACGCAGTAAAAACTAGATACATCACGTTTTTATGTAGGCATGTCTTCAGCATATGCGTTTTTATGCTACGCAGTACGCTCATACGCGCCTGTGGGATGGCCAAGAATAACTAACTTCTGAGACACGTGTCTTAAAATAGCCCTCTAAATACGTTTGTTCTTTTTGACACAATTAACCTCGCCAACGGGCTTTATTAGCCGGCTCTTTCGTCATCTGCCATTGTAGACGAGCTCGCCGGAAGCTCCATTTCGCAGAAGCAGCGTCGGCACGGTCTGGTGTCTGCCGACCCGTGATTCGGACCCTATGGTGCCGCCGGGTCGTGTGAGACTGATCCGCTCGCATTCACTTCCCACTGAATGTGTCATCAGCAGGGCACTGCGATCGGCTCGCCCACCGTATGATATGGTCACAGGCGTCATATGGGTACAGCGCCGTCTCTCGGTCAATGGCGACCGGTCCGTAGCATGGGTGTGGGTGCTGGGTGTCGGGATCAAGGGAGAGCTTGTCCTGTAGTTGCTACCCACAGCAGCTCAGATGCCGGCGGCTCTGTACTGTTTTCCAGCCATGGCGATGACAGGGAGACACGGCGGCTGATGACCGGAAAGACAGCGGTTGTGTCCGCCTCAATATCGCCCGTCCAAAGGTAGTGTTACCCAATTTGTTTGCTGATATTTGCAATGCTACTTATAGGTTGCCTGAACTGAACTTCATTTGCCGAAAGGTCTGATTTTCTATTTCTACCAGATGCTAAAAGGTATATCCGGCATCCGGATGCTAAATGGAGACGAGTTCGCTATTCCAGACTTTTAGACTTGTGTTTCGCTTTTCTAGACTTCACTTTCATGACTTCGCCGGCCTCCAAAGTCAATGCATCACATAACTAGCACGTTTCACGGTCCCAGAAGCTGCAACTTTCCAAGTACACAGACTCCGGCGCGAGGAATGGCCTGTCCGCAGAGGCCGTCGCGTCCGCCGCTCTGTACGGCACTGTCGACGTCCCTTTTCGTCGTCGTCGCTGCCGGCCGACGCGGAGACCGCTGCGTCTGCCGTTCCGTAGAGAGGGACGACGTTCGGGGAAGCCTGGGCGCAGTGGGAAGCCGGATGCTGCAATGCGTACACTAGCGGTGCTGAGC